AATGGCTATAGAATTGCAAAGTGCATGAAAGAGTATTTCCTATACAGGAAGAACTATCGAGGAGCTTTGAGTTCAGCACTTCTAACCAAATCCTTGTATCAAAAGGTCTGGGATGATAGTCCATACTTGCTGAAACAATTACCTGGTATTGGAATGGTGACAGCAAAGGTTTGTAGCTTATATTGATCTGATAGTCCATGTTTTGGGAACAGACAGATTCCTAAGGTTTCTCCTGATGTACACTTATCCTCCTGCATAGGCACTTCATTCAATGGGAGTAAAATCATTTGCCTCACTCTCCGATGCAGATCCAAGGAAAATAGAGATGGTCACTGGAAGAAAATATCCTTTTGGGAATCATATAAAAGAGTCATTACTATCGCTACCCCCAGAAATTGAGATGAGGGTTGAGGAAACTGAGAGCCAAAGGCAAGGGAAGTCCAAGGTTATGGTAACACTGACTAGGTTGTCACAACCTGCTCAAACAACTAAACGACATTATGCTGATATGGTATGGTAATTATAGGGAACATTTCGCCTGTGCGTGATTTTCTACATCACACTTACTTTGTTATAGAATTTACTCAATGACATTCAGTTAAAAACTTTCTGATAGGTGGTTGGCATTGAAGAAGATAATCTGGTACTGTTTCATGAGAAAATTAGGTAATAGATTCTTAAATATGTAGTGTGCACTTCAAAATGACACCATTTTCCTTGAAAAAACAAAAGCTTCTCAACAAAGTATGAACATTTCAAAGCATGTTTGTATCAGCTCAACTTTAGAATATCTTTCTTTTTCTTGAAATTAACAAGGTTCCCAACAAATTATTAGGATTTTCAAAGCATGCTTATATTAGGTCAATTTTCTAGGTGTCCAGCTTATACTTCTGTATGAGTAGTCATACATCTGATGCCTATCTAATGATTCCCTTTGGCTGTTCTACTTATGAACTAATGATGTTAAAATTTTCTTTATGATTATTTACCCACTAGAATGACTTGGATTTTTTTTCTTGCTGCAGGGTGGATGAATTTCCTAGGTACTCTTAAAAGTTTGGTCCCCATTTCCAAATCAAGCCTGAGAAACTGCCTAACTATGCCAACTATATTATTAAATTCATGAAATTCTTGTGAATGCCATTTTTAGTAGTGACCTTCCCTGTTATTATGGTTTTCTTTTACAGCCCTTATAGCAAGACAGTTATGGTGCCGAGTCCTCAGCAAGGGAAGCTGACTGTTAAAGCAGATCTGATATTTGATGAATTTAGTTAACTACTAACACATTCTATGTATATTTTCATTTATGTGTACTCCTTCTCCTTGAGTTTTATCTGACTAGATCACATCATTTTTCTGCAGTTGGTGTTGATCTGCATCAAAAGGTTGTATTGATAAACATGGTTGACCATAATTTTGTGATGAAGTACAGAACCAAGCAACCCTCTTCCTTCCAGAACAATGATGCCTGCATCATAGAGGACACACAAGATGCAGCTCAAGCATCATGCCAAGTGTCTCATAGTTTAACTGAAGCTGGTTGGAGCTCAGACATGTGAGAACTAACTTTCCCTTTTTATGAACATAAAGCATATGATAACCATGATTATTGACAATAGACTGCTAATTTTGTAATTTCTGTTTCTTATTTGGAATATTGGGTCATGAATATTAGACCTTATACAGGAGAGGGAAGTTTGAACTTTATAGCAAATTCCGTCTATATTTGCTAGCACCATATGAAATAATTGTGTGGTATATGTTTTGGGGAAACTGAAGGTTCCAGATTCTATCGTTCTCTCTTACATGTATGACAGGTTGAATCTACTTCCACACTGAATACTAACTGACTTCTTGTTTCTGTTATCAGGCCCAGTTTCAAGCTAATAGATGAAGATCTAGACGAAGGTAGCAATTTAAGTTCACATGTTTTGTGATTAATGTACTTCAATGTGTTACTGACTTCTGCTGTATATATATCAATGAAGTGGTACTTGCTGCTGCGGTTGAAGATGATGAATGCAGAATCATAAACGAAAATACAATATTTGACCATATACGTGAAAAGGCTAAAAACCTCCCTGCTTTGACCTCACTGAAAGGTACACGTTTACCATCATTAGAGACTTTGAATCTCATCAGAAAGCGCACTCGCGAGAAGCAGCTTCTTCTTGAGAATGCTGTAGGAGTATCTGAAGAATTGAGAAGAACCAAAGTCCCATGTCACAACATGGTCATTCAATCTGCAGAATACATTGATCTAGAAGAAAATAGACCATTTTCTAACAAAGATCAGATACCATATAGCCATCACGTCTCTAATGCCATTTACCTGCCTGATGAGAGAGGTAATATACAAAGTCATTGGCGCTAATATCTGTAGATTAATATGCAGGCTGACATCAAATTATACTGTTGTAGGTGAGCTTTTCTTTGAAACTGGGAGTGTTCCATCTGAAACAATTGCTGAAGAAACGATATTCAAATATAACCCTATAGATTCTAAGATGTTCGACAGCTTTGAGAATGTGAAGAACACAGAAGACAAGTTACACAGTGTGGCCAATGGAACCTGCATAATTCACCAACCTGAGCATTATTCTTCCAGCTTTGGGTTTCAAGAGACAACTCCAACAAAAGTTACGAATAATTCAGCAAGTAAACAAATTGAAGAGGTTGAGGATCTAACTCTTCATGGACACACCCCTGGTACAAGTGAAAAAACTGATCTTTCTATGGAAACCTCAAGAAAAGATGCAGAGGAAAGATCAAGATTGTTGTCAGCTGCAGATGCTTACTTTATAAGGAATAAAGTTGGATATCCACTACGTTCTCCAAGTTTCAAGGAACAAGAGGGCATTTCTTCAGTACAAGTTGGAGAAATTAGCCAACCTAATTCCTTTCTTGGATTTAAAAGCATTTTTACATTTCTATTTGAGTGAACATGGTGGTATCTAGGATATGTTGAATCCAATGACTTGCTTTGTCATCTATATTGAGAACTATGGGTTTAAATTTTGTTTGGTCTCCTTTGCTTGGTTAAATAAAATTACTTTCTCCACAGTTATGCTCTTTAGAGCGTATTGTGTTCTGATTTATCACTTATAAGAATTTCTACATTATTAGCGTATTCTTTCTTGTTATAGCAAGTAATCATAAATCAGGTTATCATAACCTGATTTATTTATCAAGTTACTAAAGTAATGTTTTAAGAACATTTCACTGTAATTATCATTTTGGCGTCTTTGTGGTATTAAAGAGATTTTACATGGTTAATACATAAGTTTAATTAATAGTTGATTAAAGATGTACAACTAAAAAAGAAATGAGAGCTTCGACAGTTAGGCATGATAAATAATAGAAATAGACTAAATCTCCACTTACTCCAACACTATATTTAGCATAGCATAATTCAAAGAGTATAATTACATTTGACATACTGTGACAAAAAAAAAATCATCTGTACTTTCTTGATTTTCGGCACAGGTCTGCATCGATAAACAAATTTGAAAGAGAGGGCGGGAGTAAATATGGAGCGATTTTCTTATGTAGTCATTCATGTTTAAGAAATTATCTAACAATATTATTTATGTTTGTTTTAGAATTATAATATTATTTAACTTTATTTATTTTCTTCAAAATATACTTGACACAAAAAAATATTATCTCTTTTCTAATGAAATGTTATGTAATATTTTTTAAATTTATTAATGATATGTTTAATTCTTTAAATGTATGTAGGCTCCTAATGCTAATTTATTTCAAATATTTAATTATTATTATAAATTGAGATTTATTTTAATATAAAGAAAAAACAATTTATATAGATAAAGGAAATAATAGATAATTGAAGTACGAAATTGAATAGTAATATTTAATTAAGTGTTTTTTTATTACTAACTTGAAAAATAATATATTATAAAAATAATTAATTAGTACTACACATGTGACATTTATTATTTGTGGATTTTCTTCGACAAAAAATCTTCTTGTCAATCGTAAAGATATCACAAAATGTTGAGAGCGGAGCTAACCTTCGGTTGAACAGAATATAGTTATATTTATGATTCTAAAATTATTAAAAGTATATAAAATATTGATTTAAAACTCTCTACTTTAAAGAAACAAAATTTAAAACTTACATGTAAGCTTAAAACTAGACACAAGTGTATATGCTAGCACGAACTCAAAATCTATTTATTTAATTTATGTTCTATCGATAGAATTTAGAAAGTTAATTAAATTTTAATATGATTATAGATATTTTAAGTTGTTACTTACTTTTTGTTTGCACAAATTTAATGTAAAGAGGTCCATTAAGATGTCCACAATTAAAGCATTTTTCATCATTGTTAGTTGATTTCATACTCAATATAGCTACAAGATATTACCGACATTCAAAATAATAAAGATATTACTAAAGAACATGAATTTAAAATAAAAAAATATAATAAAAACATATTCTATATTTTAAAAAAAAAATCCACTAATCAAGTTAAAATAGAATAGACTAAATGATTTTTTCAAACCAAAGAAGTACAAACAAATAAAAAAAATATCGTATAAATAATAATGAAAAGCAGAAGTACAAACACTTATCTAAAAGAAATATTATTAATAAATTAAAAAAGTGACATAACATTCTAATAGAAAAGACAATATTTTTTTTGTGTGTCAAATATATTTTTTTAAAAAAATAAAATTAAATAATTTATAATCATAAAACAAATATTAATAATATTATTAAATGATTTTTTGGGACTATTTAAGAAAATTACTCGTAAAAATTTATCCAAATGGCCATACAAATGGTAGTCAAATTTCATCAAAATACTAGATGGTTCTCCATTCTCGTGTAGACCGCCATAAATAGAGTGAGCTCGTTTTACCAAATATACCCTTTTCGGTGGCTTCTAGAATTCAGCCAAAAACCTTTTTTTCTCGTATCCCTGTTATTTTGCGTAACCGTCTTACACCGATCTGCTTGCTAAGGTTTGCTTCTTCCCTTCCTCTGTTTTTTCTCCTTCTTCTTCATTTTCTATGGTTATATTTGCTGTAGTAGATGATCGTTTGATGCAGTAAAATGCTTGATTTCAAGTTACTATGCGTTTTTGGCCATATTTCATTGTATCAAAGTACAAAAATGATATTTGAAACTTGAAAATTTGCAGTTAACCATGAATACAAATTTGAATACTTTGGAGTGAAATAAAGTGATTTTTGTTGTTTCTCAAATTGCTGAAAATTCTGGATTTCGGAATTTCATTTTATGAAAGTGTTTTTCGGAGTGACGAAGTTCCGTGTGGGTGGTTCGACTAAATTTAATAATCTGAAGAATATGAAAAAGAAAAAGAAAAAGAAAACGTCTCTTTAATATCCGGGAAGTCAAATTTGCTTTACGAGAATATACACGAGTTGCTGAGGAAAGGGATTGAATGAAGGTAAAGGGGGAGAGGGTTATTCAATGATTTGTTTACTGTTGCTACTTTTTGTTTTTTTCTCTTACATTGGAGCTTCGTGGTTGACGCCTTTTCTTTAAAAGAAGGGAAAAATGGCAGGTTCCCATATTGCACATGCTGCATACAAGGGTCCAAGTGTAGTGAAGGAGATTATGATAGGGATTGCTCTTGGAATGGTTGCCGGAGGTTTGTGGAAGAAGCACCATTGGAACAACCAGAGGAGAACTAAGGAATTCTATGATCTGCTTGAGAAAAATGAGATCAGTGTTGTGGTGAATGACCAGTAACTGAAAGTCTGGTCAGATACTATTCGAATTTTAATGTGTTGTTTTCTCACTTGGAATTATAATGAATAATGATAGTTCATTTGAATATATATTCATGAGACATACATTAAAGTTGGGAAATGTTTGACTTGATTTGGTGGGGTGCGCCAGGCCTGGGCTGTAGTGCAACACCAAGGCGACGCGTGAAGGCCCAAGTAGCAAGCTACTTTCATGGACCTCCCGCTTAAAAAATTGAGTTAATATCGTGTGAGCCAATGGCTCACATATCAGATATTAAACTGATAAGAACAGATACTACACTTGATCTTAGCCAAAAGGCCGAGAAAGGTATGCCTTATTCAGAGAATGGGCCTTGATTTTTATAGCAAATCTTGGCTATATAGGCACTAATTATTTCTGATATGGGATGAGAATAGACTAATACAAAAACAATCTCCTTTGCTTTCTAAAGAATGTGTAAGAGCTTTTTTAGTTCTTATAGAAAGACCTATTCGTAATAATTTGAGTTTATTCATTCCGTCTTTCTTTATGAATTTTGAGAATCTATGGATAAAAGAAATACGATAAAAACCAATATGAATATTATAAAGACAATAAAAAAAATTGTTACGTTTTCACCTCAAAGTGAAATATAGTATTTAATTCAATTCGTTCTTTCATTTAATGCCTATTGGTGTTCCAAGAGTTGTATTCCGAAATCCTGGAGATCCAATTTCATCTTGGGTTGAGATATAGTGCGACTTGTCAGAAATATTGGGTTATATGGTATTTCTCCGTTCTCTCCCCCGATCGAGATATCCCCCGTTTCGCCCAAGAAAGATAAATTGAATCATCAAAAATTTGGAGCTTGAAGTGCAATTAGATCCATTTTTGAGGGGATTCATATTACTATTATCAATTAGAATAATTTATGGTTGGCTTGTATATCAGATTTTACTTAATAATAAAATGAACAGCTGATGGTGATGATTCGAGTATTGTCTGGCTGGTAAATGGTATAGAATTTGCTATGCAGATTTAAACATATTGGGATTTGCTTATTTCACTTCAATGTCATACTGTGGATCTTCTAAGCATTGTAGGCTCTCTAACATGAGTATGTTCTGTGTTTTTTTGTTATCCTATTTATATTTACTGCATTCGATCAGGAAGAAATCCCTGTTCTTGGGCTAGCAATTGTATGCAACAGAGTTCAAACTTGTGACATGAGCATAATATACATATCACTTGTACTCTTATCATTTGGCTATTGTGAAGCAGATTATAGTTTTGCTTCCTAAACCGAGAGGGCACATTTCATACTTCTATGTGTTTTACACTGCTAGCAAATAGATTTCTCCAGTGCAAAGTATATTTGTTAGTCATGGTTTAGATGATTGTGAAAATTGTAAGATGTTATTTTTGTATTAATCACATTCTATCATCAAAGTGAGTTGTGTTGGAGATTAATGGTTAAACATCCTGCCAAATTTATTGCAACATTAATTGTTTATTTCCAAATAATTGAATTAAGCAGAAAAATGTTATATTTGAAAGGTTGTACTCGATTAGGTGGGGTGCGCCAGGCCCGAGCAGTAGTGCAACGCATGGACGACGCGTAAAAGCCCAGGTAGCAAGCTACCTTAATGGGCTTTTCCCCTTAAAAAATTAAGTTAATATCGTGTGAATCAATGATCCACATATCAGATATTAAACTGATAAGAACAGATACTACACTTGATCTTAGCCAAAAGGCCGAGAAAGGTATGCTTTATTAAGTCAATGGGCTTTGCATTTTATTGCATATCTTGGCTATCTATGCATTAGCTAACTCCGATATGGGATAAATAGACGCTAAAAAGCCAACCCCTATATATAGCTTTCTCTGAAATGTAAAGCCTTATGTATCAGATTCTGCCTAAAATGAAATGACCAGTGGATGATTCGACCATGGTACAGGATCTGCTATACAACATACTGTGGGATGCTTAGTTTCACTTCATGTGATACTGCTGATCTCTAAAATAACTTCATAAATTGGAGTACAGACGGTCTAGAATTTCTTCAATGACTTCATAATTATCCTATATGGATGTGTCTTTCAGGTTTTATTTTTCGATTTGTAGTTTAAATATATATTCTTTTTACTAACAAAGAAGTACTATGTTACACCAACTAACTCTTTGGCAGATTTTAGTTGACATTCAAGGGTAGTGTAGCCCAAAGACTGTGACGTCCCAACGCTTATCAGTCAAATTACATATATTGTGTTCTCACATCATATCAACCGAACAATAGATTACACAAGACTATTGAAAAACATAATTTTCTCTATAATATCTCAAGCATATGTGAAAACTATTAAAATTTCTACAACTATTAATAGACAAATTACAGTCCATAAATAAAATATCTACACATCTTTAAGGCGCTACATTAATCGATCACATATTTCTAAAACAAAATTTAATTTTGTGCTGTTAATTCACCTTGCTTTTATTTCCCCGCAATCGAGGAAATTGCAAATTTAATAATTGTCTGATAAGTAATACTAACGTTGAGGGTCTATTCTTCTTCTGTGTTTTTTTTAAAAAAAAATGTTTGTAAGCTCTTTTATGTGGTATATATATATATATTTAGTAGACATCATGTGGTCCAAAAACAGTGAAGTCCCAACGCTTACCTGCTTATGCTATATATGGTCCACTACCATCGTACGAGTATAATATTTAATCCGTTTCAATTTATGTGATATTATTTAATTTAATTTTTAAAATTTATGATTTAAAATATTTTTTGATTTTATATGTTATCATATAAACTAAAATAAAAATGTGTTAGCCGAAATTTGAGAAAGTGAGATATTATTCTTTAATAGCTAGCGCTTATCAGCGGAATTGCGTATATTGCATTCTTACCTTATGTCTATAGATTTCTTCGACATTCTTCTGATAATTATTATTATTGTCATTTATTTAGCATTTAGTTTTTATGGTACGCCTATAGGCTATAGTTTCCATCTATTACCTCAACGTTAATTAGGTTTTGTGGTAAAAGAATAGAATTTTGATTAGATACATGTTACGATTAAATCGCAAAATAAAAAATGATATTTAGATGGAGAATGATAAAAGTTAGAGTCATTAATTTATTCAGGTTAAGTAGCTGTGGCTACTGGCTAGTCCCTTGCAGATCTCTAAATTATTTTTTTTTTTTTAAAAAGCATATAGTAATTTTGAAAATTTTACTCTTGATTCAAAATCATAAATAAGGTAAATCTGAATTGTATTGCAAGTCCTACCATCCAAAATCCAAAAAGGATTTATTCTTTTTGTCTAGTTAATTTTCTTGTAAAATCTATTTGGATAGTTTTTCCTAGATTTTTAATGTTGTTAGTGAGAGTTCGATTTCTATTTTTATCATTTCTTCTCCTGTTTTTCCTGGCCTTACCTGCAATTTGGGTTGGGGGGGGGGGAATATAAGATAATTCTATTCTTGGTAGCAAATATTGTCTATATTCATAGGAGGCTACGATATAATAAGATCAACAAAATTAGGTGGTTGAGGTGAATGAATTTAGTCGGCATCTGGTAGTTCAAAATGGGGTCCAAATGAACCGGCTATATCCACATAATTTAATTATATGATAGCATTTCATAATGACAAAAAGCCAGGACAAACGAATTAGCATTAAGCAATTCATGAACCTATTTGAAAATGATAAAGTATCTATGCTTCTGTCTACACTTGCTTGTATTATCACTCACCAAAAATTCAAAAATGAAATCATACTAATTCTATTACTGTACAAAAAATGTACTGATAAAAAATCTCCCAAAACTTCCATTTCTATATTATGTCCTTGCAATTATTTCGTATTTTCAGACTCTTTTAAAAGGAATTCATCACTTTTGTGTGGTCCAGTTGATGAGCTTTGCATACTTAAGGACTCAGTGGTGGTGGCATAAGATGATGATTCATCAAGTTTATAGAGTGCATTTGAGACTAAACTTCTTATACTGGATTTGATTGAACCGCCAGCTAATAAGTTCGAATTTAAGAATGGTGGTTGGCATGGTTCTGGAATTTGATAGCCCTCACACGTTAGCATTTGGACAACTTCACTCATTGATGGTCTTAAAGCGACAGAAGCTTGAGTGCACAACAACCCCACTTTTAGTACCTTTGATGCCTCTTCTCGCGGAAAATCGCCTTTCAGTAGAGGGTCCAATGCTTCAGTTACCTGATTTGTTGTGTACAGCTTCCACACCTGAAACCAAAATGACAATATACTGAGCTATATGATAAACATAGTTTTGTGACTTTACCACTAAAGTTCAATGATACTCATATAACGACCATGCAAAAGAGAAATCTATAGCATTCTTACTGTTTGTAGTAGAGAGCCAGAGTCCTCTGCAAAGGCAATACTTTTTCTGCCACTGACAATTTCAAGAACAAGCACCCCGTAGCTATAGACATCAGCCTTCTCTGTTAGTTGTCCTTTAACGAGGTATTCAGGAGCCATATATCCTCTGTACACCGATCACAGATTAAGTTTAAGAAAGGAACTAGTTTATATATGTGAATTGTGTTGATATGTATTTGTGAATTGTTGACTTACAATGTTCCAGCAATTCCAGTGCTGAGATGAGTCTTGTCAGCTCCGAAACACCGAGCAAGTCCAAAATCAGCAATTTTTGCTTCAAGATTTTCATCAAGAAGTACATTGGAGCTCTTGATGTCCCTATGGATGATTCTGATCTCTGAACCTCCATGGAGGAAATCAATGCCTTGTGCTGTTCCAACTATAATACGGAAACGTTCTTCCCATCTTAGAATCTTTACCTTGTCTTTATCTACAAAAAAAGTTCAACAACTCAATCAGTAAGTATATAACTATCACAACATAGAAATGTATAGGTAAGAATAATGCTGTGTCAAAGTCCAGGTTCAACTGTCAGGGTATTTTCCGCTCTGCCCCAACCTTTGGGGCCTCAGCTTTTGGTCACTTTGGGTTTTACCAGAAAGATGTCTTGACAGTTGAATTCTAAACTCACCCTTTTATGTATGGAATAAGAAAGAAAGATAATTACCAAAGAGGTATTGATCTAGACTCTTATTGGTCACAAACTCGTATA